TGCAGAGCTGGAAGAGAATTTGTGGATTATCAAGTTCAGCCCCTAGTCAAGGAGGCACAGTGGGGAATCGAACCCCCAAGACCTAAATAAAGCACAGGGCTATCCAGCAATTAAGGGAAGAGGATCTGAGATACAAGCTTGAGAAGCCAGAGAGCTTCTGCCAGTCAGGGTGGACCCGGGGGGGGGGGAAGAGGCTCCATGTGGCCCTCCAGATGTGACTGGACAGCAATGCCGATCAGCCCTATAAAGGGGGGGGCAGGGTTGCAGGCCCACAACATCTGGAGAACATAGTTCACCATTCATAGTGAGCCAAAAGCTTGAGAATGACTTCTGAACTGCAACTCCCAGAATTCCCCCCCCCATCAATGAAACCTCTCCCAACCTCTGGGCAATAGGGACAAACCATCAAACCTCATGTAAGGCAGTTCCCTACGTGACTCAAGCATCCGCTAGTCTACACACTAGATTCTGACAGAAGTGGTCGCTTTTCACAGTGCTCACCGTTTAATGAAGAAAGCACCAAAGAGTCTCAGGGCTGCTACGCAAGGGCATTTCCTTAAAAGTCCTAACCACCCCCCCTCCCTCCCCAGCTGTTTCTCTCTTGCCATGCGATCCTGCCTGCCAAGCGCATGGAAAGGCTGCCAGCTGGCAGATGTGGTCTGTCAAAAGCGCAACGCCCACAGGAGCAGCTGCATGTCGGAGGCGGGAAAGGTTCCTATTGGTGAACTATTTCTCCCCTACTGCCTCCAGCCGCAATGCCAGGGGGCAACCCCCCCACAACCAAGAAGGAAAGAAAAAGCACGGTATTCCCTCAAGGACAACTAACTTTTCTCATCTTGGCCAAGCACTCCTTAAAACAGGAGCCAAGCCAGCCCTATGATAACGCTAGTCCGCCCCAGCAAAGGACATAAAAGTCTCCGACCGAAGAGTGTGTGTTCTTCACACTAGGCCCACCTCTCAAAGAGGACCTGGGATTTTCTCCTCCCCATGTTCCCTTTCTCTAGTCCAAGAAGAAGAAGAAGAAGAAAGAGCTGAAGCAGTTCCAAGAATGCATGAGCAGCCCGGGGGCAACCCTGGCAAACAGGGCAGAAGAGACCCGATTTGAGGCCAACCTACTGGGAATGCTGACAAGGATCAATTGCAAGCCGAAAGGGGACTGAAGCAGAAAAGATCGGCCTCCGCCCCCCCCAGCTCCCCACCCCCCATGGTATGCTTTTCTACAGAAGAAATCAGCTAGCAGCAGGGTAATAACAGCCTTTGCTGGGGGGTTGCCGGGAGAAGAGAACTGGCCAAGTTCTTTCTTTATTGACGAAATGTACATCCTGCTTTTGGCACGATCGTTCCCTAAATAAGATACAATTAAAGACTTGCGATACCTTGCAATTAATGCTAGAAAACCAGCCCCCAAATCAACAACTGGTCCAAATTGGTATAAAAAAGGTCAACAAAATGGAGCGAAAGTCGCAAAGCATAGAACAAAACAAAATAAGCTCCCAGTTATATGACAAGAACCTTCGTTTCGATTACAAAACAAAAGTGAATGCTGCTCAGTACAGCTGGGCAAGAACCACTGATTTGGTGGTTCGTGGCGGTTTTTCAGCCGAACTGGTGTTTGTCAGTTCCCAGCCCCATCTCTTCCAGTGGGCGCCTTGGCTTCCCTGCCCCACCTCCTCTGGGCGCTGCCCTCTGAGTGGGCACCTGCTGGAGGAGGCAGAGATAGGAAGCACCAAGCATCAATAATGTAAGACAGTGGTTTTCAATCTTAGGTCCCTAGATGGTCTTGGACCAGAACTTCCAGAAGCCTTCACCACTCCCTGTGGCGGCCAGGATTTCTGGGAGTTGTAGGTCAAGAACTTCTGGGGACTCAAGGTTGGGAACCACTGATGTAAGGTATGCAGATGACACCATCTTACTATAAGAAAGCTTAAGACAACTTCTGAGGAAAGCGAAAGAAGGAAGTGTCAAAGCAGAACTACAGTTGAATATTAAGACCAAGATAACGACTACAGAAGAACTCTACAACTTAATATGGACAGTGAAGGAACCGAAATTGTTAAAGATTGGTTCAAACCTTGTTTCAAACATAAATCTCAAGGGAGAAAAGGTCATCAAGTGTAAGGAAATTTTAGAGATTGCTCATTCATGTGGTCACCATAAATTGGGGATGATTTATCAGCACATAACATTAACAATTATGTTGTTTCTCCTATTCCTTTACCCACTAACCATTGTTGCTTTTTATACTGCAAGGCTTCAATGGAAAAGATTTGAATATCAGAAAGAAGGCACTGAATCAACTCATTATGTGCTCCACACATCCATCTCTATATCTCTGGCAGTGCTTGGAAAAATTAATGTTTTCAGACTATCGTTCCCAGAAGTCACACGGACCTCTCTGATGGGCTTTCAGAAAGGGAGCCACTCCTTCATATTCTGCAGCCCCTTTGCGTGCCATGAAGAGTCCCAAAGCACGCTTGCTAAATAATCCTCCAATGGAAAAAGGAAAGGAATGATCGCCACACAAGGAAACAGCCCAGAAATCCAGGCAACCACATGCCAGTCTCGTAAACTGTACTCAAGGGTTAACGTGCAAACAAAAACTGGGCAGTTTTATCATCAAGATGCTATTTTAGGAATTCTCTTGACTGGCCAGATGCCGGTTATAGACTCATTAATGGCAGGGTTTGATTTATTGCCCTGCTATTTGCACATTTTTCTGGATGCTGCAGATGTTGGAAGAGGGAACTGTTCACCCTACCCCTCCCTTGGTAGTTCCCTCTGAAAGGCCCGGGAAGAGCTACTCACAGCATCTTGAGTATTTCCACGTAGCAGCCCAGGATGCGGTCTGCCTGGGCGCTGAGTTCGATGCTCATGGTGCTGCAGGTGGGGCTGACCATCAAGCAGTCTATCAGGTTGGGCTCGCTGTCATTGCCGACGTTGGCCGTCATCTTCTGGTTGGCCGTGTTGTTGCGCTCCACCTCCACGTGGATCTCATTCGACGTGACGATGACCGATTTGAGGCGGGACTCGGTCAGCGTGGCCTCCTGGGACACCAGGTCGGGGCTCGTGTGGAGGAGCCGAAGGGGCAGGTTTGGTTTGCGGTCGCAGGGCTGTTGACAGCCGTTCCGAATTTCTTTCAGGCTTGGCGAATTATCTCGGCTGCATTTAAAAGAAAGAAAGAGAGAGAGAGAGAGAGAGAGAGAGAGAGAAAGAGAAAGAGAGAAAGAAAGAGAGAAAGAAAGAGAGAAAGAAAGAAAGAAAGAGAGAAAGAGAGAAAGAAAGAAAGAAAAAGAAGGAAGGAAGGAAGGAAGGAAGGAAGGAAGGAAGGAAGGAAGGAAGGATGGATGGATGGATGGATGGATGGATGGATGGATGGATGGATGGATGGATGGATGGATGGATGGATAGATAGATAGATAGATAGATAGATAGATAGATAGATAGATAGATAGATAGATAGATAGATAGATAGATAGATAGATAGATAGATAGATAGATTACTTTCCAAGCTGGACATAACAGAAGTCACAGGGAACAAGCCAAACTTTGGCCAAATTGTGTTGCAACAGACTTTTTCTCGGCTTTCATCTTGGTGTGTTGCAGCTAGGCTGGCCTATTTATATTTAAGAAGAACAATCATTTCCCTCAAGGAATTTACAGTACAGGCCCTCTTTTCTTTGAAGGTCTTTGAACTCAGACGAAAGGAATGCAACTCTCCTTTTGAAAGCACAGAGAGCCGTGATGAAATTTATACTCCAGAGGACAGCTGGCCATAGAAGGCTACTACTGCTTTCCCCAGAAGGTCAGCACCAAGAAGGGGAAGGATGCGAAACCTCTGGTTCATGGGCCAATTTGGTCCACAGGAGAACCCTCCAAGCCCATGGCCGTGATTTCGTGCACAGGGGCTTTCATGGGGGGGAGGGGGGCTGCAAAACCTCTCCTCTTATGACCTCAGGCCAAGGATCTGAAATAAAAGAGGAAGCTGTTGAAAGACCAGGAAACTGAGAGACGGAACCCCCTGGCTCATTGGCAGCCCAAGAAGGCAACAGAGAGGTGGCACGCTCCTTCCAAACTTCCAAGGGCAGGGGGCAGCAGACCTTGGGCATGCCAGGATGACAATTCCCACCCTGAATTCCCAATGGTAAAGGACTGTGGGAGTTGTAGTCCAAAACATCTGGAGTCCCAAAGGTTTACTGCCCCATTCTAGTGCCGAAGACTACCAGGATGTTCCACCACTTTTAGCCAGGGGCACATACACCTATCTTTTCTGCCTGTGGAGGCAAGTTCTCTTGGGTCCTGGGCTTCATGCAAAAATACAGGACATGGCGTTAGACTGGATCATCTCATAATCTTTGCCTGCCCAATGTTGTTTCCACTCACAAGGGTACTACTTTAGGATTTCAGACACGTTTTCCCCAACCCAGCCTCGAATTTTACACATGCAAAGCCCAACTGCCTGTTTTGCAGACACCTTCCCCCGCCCCACCACCAAGATACCAACATGTGAATGCACACAAAGATTCGCATGGATTCGCTGGGAGTGCAGCTTGCCCAGCGGTCTAGAAGGGCACATGATAGACAAGGGATAGAGCAGTGCAGGTTTGTGTTTATGGAGCAGAGCGCCTTTCTAGCCCATTGGGCTATTCCTAGTCCATCTGGCCAGGCTGCCTAGGGAATTCTGGCAAGTCTAGTCTGAAAATGTGCGTGGACCCAGCTCTAACATGGAAGTGGTAGCCTCATGCTTTTCCCAATGTTTCTGTAGTCAGGGAATAAGCTCAGTGCATTTTGCTCCTGGAGGCCCCCATTTCAAGAGGGGACCCGATTGCAGAGGCCGCTGAATCTAACTTCCACACGGGTGACAGGCTAGCAGAATATAACTTAAAAGGTATAGAGAAGATACCTTGCCCACTTTCAGCATTTGCAGCTGCCTGACTCTGCCTAATGGTCAGGCTGGCCCTGTCTGTCTGCGATGTGTATTGAGACGAAGGGGAGCCTATTGAAAATAAAGGCACATTTCACACCCGACAGACACCCTGCCATGTGTGTTTTACAATAATCTGGGCAGCCGAAGCTCAAGGACCACCAGGACATTGTGAATCGAGTGCAGAAACCACCGTCGACAAGTTTAGTCGGGCCACGACTGACCTGTTGATGAATTCTTCATAACAAGAATAAATAGCGGCTAAACAGACTGCGACGAGATTCGGGAGGACTCTGGGATGAGGGCACTGTCCAGTAGGGCCGTGCATGCTGGAAGGACAAGAAAGCAGTCGTGAGGACACAAACACAGGAGAGGACTCAGAGGTAGCTGAATCTCATTTCTTCGGGAACGTATTGCAGGGCCCTTGACCCTCTCTGTCGATCCTGGAACTCCACTTCCAGTTTTGCAAGGCCTCTTGGCTTGGATAAAACCATCTTGTTTTAAAGGATAATATCTGCTCCTGGAAGTTTCCAGGAGTGACAATTCTCCATCAATCAATCAATCAATCAATCAATCAATCAATCAATCAATCAATCAATCAATCGATCGATCGATCGATCGATCGATCGATCGATCGATCAATCAATCAATCAATCAATCAATCAATCAATCAATCGTCCCACATTCTTCTTCTTTCTTTATTTCTTTTGCTCTGCAGGGTTGATCCAGGATGGCCATAAAAATGAATAGTGGCTTACAAACAGCCCAACAGTGCTTCCCCCATGTAACTGAAAGGAAGCAAACAGCAGCCTTACCCAATGGCCAGGCTGCCTGGGGAGGATAGGAGTTGTAATTCAAGATATGCAGAATGCATTAGTAAAGTACTGAGAGAGAGAAAAAAGAGTGTACTAAAAGAAGGAGAGTACGAAGAGAGCAAGACACAGTGGAGGGCTACAGCCCGGTTGGTGTTCACCCAGAACGTCTGCACAATAGTTGTAGTTATGTGGGAAGGAGCTGTGGATCTTTTCCAGCAAAATAATCAGGAAAAAAGAAAGAAGATCGGAATTCTACTGCTGGTAAATACAGGATTCATGTCCTAAAAGGGGCAGATTTTTTTTTTTTTACTGGACAAAAAACTGACCTGTGAATGAACTTCTTCACCACTTCCATGCCAGCGTTCAATTCATTCAAAGCCAGGATGTACTCCTGAGTAAAAAGCCTCAACCTTGGGCATTTTCCAAAATCCTGTCCAACATAGGGAGGGGAAAAAGAGAATTAATAAAGCCATAAAAGAATGGATACCAAGCTTCAAGCTGTGAATTTTTGGACTGTGTCAATACGTATCTACCTGGACGTACTTGGGGAGGAAAAGCATTAGACACCATTTCCATTTTCATTTCTATTAATTAATCATTTTTCCTAATCTGGCACCATATGCCTTTTCAGAATCTCTCTTTCTCTCTCTCTCTCAGCAAGGAGATGGGGATGAGGACCGTGTGGTGAAATTCTCCTCCCTGTCAAACAGCCCTTGCGCTAGAGATGACTGATTTGTGAGAGAATTAATTCTCTTTTATTTCATCTCTATTTATACTCTACTGTTCAACTGGGAAATGTCTCAAGGCTGGCTTTCACATCATGTACTGAAGAAACCACAGCCCAGGCAAAGCAAGAGAACAACGGATATTCCAGAGCAGGAAAACAGTGAAAACACTTCTACCATTGATTCAAAATATTTTAAGAATTTTTTAAAAAGAGCATGAAATAAAAAATAAGTCTTCACTTATTGCCCACAAGCCACCAATGTGGGCATCAGGGAGGCCTCTCTGAAGAGCAAAATATGTTTCCTCTCAGGATTAACATTCTCGGTCCTTTTTAGAGGGGCACTAAAAGACCCACTGAGATGAAAGGAACCTATTTCCAATCATTTTTGGCTAAACGACCACCAATATACCAGCTTTCCCCTCAATAACAGTATCCTTGAGATGTCTGGGACAACAATGCCCATCAGCATCCGTCATGGCCATGGTAAAGGAGTAATGGGATAGGCAGTTCAAGGAATTCAGAAAGGTGGCTATGTACTGATTAGAGATGGACACAAAACAGTTCAGCAGTTTGTGCCAGTTTGTTTATGGGCCAAACGGGCTGAGTGCTTCCAAGCCTGCCTCCTCTGTCAGCCGCCCGCTCAGAGGCTGAACCCATAGGAGATGGGGCAGGGAAGCCAGGCCACTGCTCTGAGTGAATACCTGCCAAGGGAGATGGGGCTTTGAAGTGTCAAACACCTGTTTGGCCAATAAACAAACTGGCCGTTTGTGCCCATCTCTAGTACTACTATCAAACTTATTTTTTTGCGTGTAGACACTAATGCAGTTGCCATTCATGTAAAATGGGGACATGTCGGCAGACTCATGGGAACTCTAAGGTTTGCAGAAGTACCAACCTCCCCCCACAAAAACGACCTACAAGGCAGAGAAACCTAAAGCGAGGAAGTCAAAATTAAGGGACGCAAACTGAATATTGCTCAAAAGCCCTAGAATGCTGTTCAACTGGAAGGGGATTTGGCGGGCCATGGGAAGGGAAGACTATCCTTTCCCCCCAAATGCATGTCTGGCCAGCTCTTGGAAAATTCCCCAAATCCCAAGGATTATGGGGAATTCTGAAAATCGTGATCCAGACGGTTTTTGTAGGTCCCACTGAGCTATTGCGTAACAGTGTCCCAAAGCAGTAGAGGCACAGATACACCAAAGTTTTTGTGTTTAAAAGGGTATGTTATTATGTCGTGCTTCTTACTGAGCTTTCTTAAGATGTGGTAGATCTATGAGAGAATCCAGCAACATGAGCAGTCAGGTTCCACATAAGCCACTTCCTAGCAAAACCTTTTTTTTAATTATTTGCTGTTGTTTCTCAGCGAAATTCCTCTCTCTGTTGTCCTACAATCCCTGACCGTGTTTTCCCCGGGTATGACCGTGGACAGCAGTGTGTGAGATCATAAAAGGAATTGAGAGGTTTTGAATAATTTATGCCTCCACTTACAATGGTCATTAGAATAAGGCTCCTATGATACTTCTGGAGGCAGCCGTCCAAACCCACCCCAAAGGGAGACAGAGGCAGTGATTGTCATCCCTGGGGCAAGACAGAGCCCAAAAGAAAGCTGCCCAAGACAGACAGACAGAGAGAGAGACAGAAAGAGAGAGAGAGATGGACAGAAAGAAAGAAAGAGAGAGAGAGCCACAGCAATTCATATTTGCCTTACGTGGCCCAGGCAGGTGATTCACATTTATAAATAACAATTTTCCAATCCCCCTGCAATCCCAACAGATCAGCAGCTGTCTTTCTAAAACTTGCCTGGGTCTATTTGTATTTTATTAGCTGGGGTATCTATTGTATTGTTTCTCTGCACCATCACTTCCTGCTCTTCACAGTGATGAAGGACATGAAAGAAGGGACAGACTCTTATCTCAAACATAGGATTTCTTGTAGCCAAGGACTCAACTCGGGAGCACGGAAACACTGGTGCATTGAAGCCCTAGGTAAGGGTCCCATGTCTGCCTTTGATACAGGACCAATATATCTGTCCCTCCCCCATAAAGCCTCCGGTTTAATCCTTTGTCTTCCTCATCTTCCACCACTAGAACAAAGCCGAGTTATATCTAAATTCATCGGATCCTTTGCATCTTTCTCTCTCCTATTCCTTTCCTTTGTCATCTCAACTGCTGAAATTTAACTGGAAACCTCCTCAAGCCTCTTGTTGTTGCTGCTGGTTGACTATGCACAGAAAACAATGGGCGCCCAAGATAGAATCATAGGATCATGGAATCATGGAAGGGGCCTCGAAGGTCATCAAGTCTAACCCCCTACTTAAAGCAGGAATCCAAAACCGAGCAGATCTGACAGAGGGTTGTCTTAATCTTCTCTTGAATGCCTCCAGTGTTGGAGTGCTCGCCACCTCCTTCCGAGGTCTTGAGTTCCATTGTCGTACTGCTCTAACAGTTAAGACATTTTTCCTGATATTCAAGCCTAAATCTGACTTCCTGTCACTTGAGCCCATTATGACGTGGAAGATCAAACATATGTCCAGGAATGCGACCAGCACCTCATTAACAAGTGGCATTTTGTTGACAAGACTTAATGCAGTTTCCGCTATGGAAATATAAATCAGCAAGAGAAAATCTAAACACCAAATCTTTAAGTTCTTCATAGAATAAGGACGGCAGCCCTAAATGTACAGCAATTAGCGCCCAGGATTATTTCCCTTCGTTAGGCTCTGAGTCATCAAACCAAAATACTGAGAATTGGCCGTTGGGTTAGGAAGAAAAAAATGTTGCATCTCAGCTTTTGGCAAAATGATTAAATGATTTGATTTTTTTAAAAAAATAAATAAAGATGTCTTAAGTAATGAATAAAAAACAAAAGGGGGTGACAATGCAATCATGCAGGGAGTGGTAGTAAGCAAAGGCAAGAAAGATGATGGAAGTATTTTGAGCCCCCCGCTCATGCCCACCTGGAGGGAATGCTGGAGAGAGACCAAATTGGACAGGAACCTTAATGGGTGTTGATGGGATGAGCCAAAGAAGTTGAAGGCCATTGAGTGGGAGAGGGATGGAAAGGGCTGGAGCTGCCCCACGTCTTACGGTTACCATCAGTGTTAGAAAAAAGGTAGTGTGTTGAAGTACAAAGGGTTTTTGAAGCCTCCGCCTCAGAGAGAGGGCATCTTGACTCACCATGTTGTGTTTGAGGATTCGTTGTACAACTGGAGTGAAGACTTCTATGACCACCATGGACCGAGGGCGTTCCCTGCAGTGCTGCAAGAAGAAACCATGAATCCATTTGATGGTCAGACAAGCGATCGTTTGCCCTGACTCGGCTGATCAACACCATCCCATAACTCTGCGATTCCGGTTTTATGGGGGAAGAAAGCAAACCTCTCTCTTCCTTCAACAGTTATTGTGTAAAGCTCTACCACAGGCTTGGGCAAGAATTGAGAATCGTCACGGTCCAAATGAAAGAGAAAGATGATTAGGCCCTCCAGCGAAGCATTCTTTACTCTGACTGGCAATGGTTTCCCAGCACCTTTGGTAGAAACCTCTAGTCACTAGTTTCCCTGGATCTGTTTGGCCCATGTTAACCAGGACTGGAATTGCAGCTGTACGAATTATTATTTTTTTTAAAAAAAGTGCTCTATCCTAAAAGATGGCTGTTTCTTACCCTTGCGTCTATCCACCTTCCCTCTCCACCCAAAATGTATTGACTGATGCATGAAAAGAATCTGGCCAGCCTCTACCAAAACTCTCCCCAGAATTAATGAGGCTGAAGAAATAAATAAATGCTCAGTGGTTCCAACACATGTGCAGGAAGTCACAGAAATAAGCCTAGGTACAAAGGATGAGTCCCACTGTTTTCGGCACTGCGAAATGATCCGCGGTTGTAACGGGGAATCCCAAAGGAGCATGGCTGAAGTACTTCCCAAGCCCAGTGGCCTCAATACATCCCACCATTCCAGCCAGCCATGATGGCTGGGTAAAATGGTGGCGGACTGTAGTCTAGCACATTGGAAAGGGGCTAAGCTGGGGAAATCTGCAGCAGAGAACAGGGGGGGAAACCTAGAATGCAAAGAACATGGTGGGTACATCAGAACCCCTCTGGTGGAGATTAAACCGGTTTCAATCTGATTTCAATACACTTAACTTTAATTAAGTTACTGAGTTTGGAAGATTCTTTAATATTCTCCAAAGATCCTTTAATATCTATCTCTATCAACCCTTAATACCTTGCAAAAAAATTCGCACAAATCAGGAGGTGGGTGGTTGTTTTCCAACAAAGGAGCGATCGCCTAAAGACAAAAGAAAAAAAAAGGTTTAGGGACAGATATTTGGCTGTTATCACAGACAAACCTTGTGATAGATATCGTTAAATCGTTATATCCTGGCTTTTTCCTGCAAAGGACCCCCAAGGTGCCTTAAACTATGAAAAAATATAAACAGTATTAAGAGCTAAGAATAAACTATTACAGTATTTTAAAAAGAATGAAACAAAAATTATACTACAAGTAGTAGATAAAAACAGTACTAAAAACACATTAAAAACAACAAAAACCCAACAGTTCTGTTTTAAGAATGCCCTCTCAGATAGCCAGTCACTACAGGAAAAAAATAAATCTACATTTTCTCTAGATCCTCTATCAACAGGCAATTTATATCTATATATCACATAAAATGAATGTGCGTTTACAAAAAAACAAAGGAACACACATAGGTTTAGATTCATCATCACCTATTGTTCTTTTCTCTTTGCTCCAAGAATTCATCATTTTGTCCCAGCATAACTTACACTGTCGTTCATTCCTGCCTCCCCTCACCCATCTCTGCCTTTCAATAAAATGCAAAGCTTCCTACAAACTGTTTGAACCCTAATTACACCAAACATCACTTCATCTATCTGTGAAAAAAATGAAAACTGGAAGAATGAGGCAACCAACCTCCACCCTGCAAATTAAAGCCACCCCAGAAGCAAGTTAAGATACACAACCGGACTTGTGGGAGCTGACTGCGGGGCAGACGGAGAAGGGACACAAAAAGGCATAAGCAGACAATACGGCTAAAACGGGCTTCTGTCGAAGGCGATAGATGAGAGTTACTCCCTGCTCTCCAATATTACTCTCAGGGAGTGGAGCATGGTTTGGCCCATTGCATAAGGATCCTCTACTCCTCCGTGCTCCAACAGAATCCAATCATGATTGGGGACCCTGAGATTACTCGAGAGGAAAATAAATACTCTCCCCAGCCGGCATCTCCTAGCTGCATCTCTAAATCAAGAAGAGAGTCAAGTTCTGGAGCAAGAAGACGGTGAGGGGGGGGCAAGGTGGATTTGATTTAAATCATATTTTTATTAAAAAATCAGATTTTTAATGATTAAAATTTTTTAAAAATGGATTTAAATCCCTTGATTTTTTTATCCAGAAATCAAGAAGAGAGTCAAGTTCTGGAGCAGGAAGACGGTGAGGGGAGGGCAAGGTGGATTTGATTTAAATCACAATTTAAAAAAATCAGATTTTTAATGATTTAAAATTTTTAGAAAATGGATTTAAATCCCTTGATTTTTTATCCACCCTGGAGGAGAGGCTTTTTCCAGCGAGCAGTGGTTCAAACAAAGGACTGGATTGAAGAGGAGAACTTTACTGCCTCTAGTTTGGCAGGAGGGGACCAGCTGGCAGTATTCAAAGTGGATGTTGGCCAGAATCCTGTTTGCTGCCAGGATCATGTCCGGTTGATCCTGTAAGCATTCTCCTTGTTCCTCTAAGTAACCCCTCTTCCACTGCCTTGCATGATCAGGAGCACCGCCAGCAGTGCGACTGACTGTAATAGAAAGAGCCAGAAGGAAGGGGGGGAAATTGCTGAGTGATAGTTCTCATGGGCCTTTTTTCCCCCTCCAGCCGGATTTTGGCCCTTGAAGTCTAGAACGCATGCCTGACACTCAAAGCAGGGGTGGCGATTTTGCAGAATTAAACCACCCTGCTTTGTCAAGGATGGCCAAATGCTGAGAGAACAGAAGGCAAGACAGGACAGGAGATTCTAGTGGTCCTTGTCTGAAACCGACAAAGACACCCCTTACAAGCATGAAACCCTGTATTAATGATATGCAATACAACATAAAACATAACCAAGTCAGAGGACAGGCCTTGATGTCATTATTTTTATTTATTCGAAATGTTTTAACTTCCCCTTTCACATTAAAGAGGAGCCAAATCGCCTTACATTATTAAAAGACAATACTTAAAGCTAAAACCAGTAAATAAATGTTTAAAAGGGTGACAAAGATCACACTAAAAAAAAGTAAACAAAAGCAACACCAAAGCACATAAGTGTGTGTTTGTGTGTGTTTTGAGTGTGTGTGTGTGTGTTACAGCAAATGTTTTTTCTGCCTTTTGTGTTGCCAGTGTGGGAGGTCCTGATACGGGTAAATGTTTAAAAGGGTGACAAAGATCACAGTAAAAAACAGTAAACAAAAGCAACACCAAAGCACATAAGTGTGTGTTTTGTGTGTGTGTTGCAGCAAATGCTTTTTCTGCCCTTTGTGTTGCCAGTGTGGGAGGTCCTATGTATCACACAATTTGTCCATATCAGCAGAGATAACTCATTTTGATTGAACGGTTCAGAACATTTTCACCAACACCAATAATGGCAAATAAAAGTGGCCACTCTCTGAGCATAAAGGGGAAGCTGCTGAAAGATGGGAGGTCCATTTTCTCTGTCTTTCTCTTTTCACTAATAATGAATGTAAGATAGTTCTGCTGATCCAGGAGAACAAAACACATAAGCCATACCCAAACAAAACGTACACGATGCTGTAGAAATGGACTCAGTTTTAATAAAGATATTGCCCACCTGCAGAGTTTGGTTTTATTCTGCATAAATGTGGACAAGTAATCACGCAAGATAAATTTATTTGCAATAGTCTATTTGGGGCTTCTCATTGGAAGAGAAACAGAAACACAATAGACTTCAAACCTTAGTTTCTGAAACATCTGACTGTTCTTGCTTTTTTTTTCCCCAGAAGGAACCTCTGGCTTTCTAAATCTTGGGCTCATCACCTACCCATCCATTTCTAGGCAACCCAATGCGGTTACACATTGTGAATGCATTAGCGGTTATAGCCGCCGTGTTGCGTGTAATGAAATTATGTCCCTGCTGATTCCGTTGCAAATGACACTGTGCTCCTAGAACAGAAGATTCTTCCTGTACAGGGACGGCCCTGGGGGGTTTTCTGTCCCAAAACAAAGAGATTCTTGGTATCGGGTTTACAAAGCACAACTCTTTCAAGCACAGCTGGGGACAGCTTGCACAAAAGCTTTCGAACACCAGTGCTGTCGTTTTGAGCATCACTAAGCTCAGGCGCGAATCTCTTTCAACTCCTCCTCCCGTCGGGCTTGTAAACAAACACGCCATAGAACAAAGACCCAGAAACCGTTTCCGTCTGCCCCATGCACAAGCCGCAAAAAAAGCTGCCTGCATCAGGCTGTTGACTTCCTCCAGCAATGGATGCCGGCACTCCCCGGCCTGCCAGAGGCCCCAGGGGGACTCCCTTTCTTCCAGATTCCTCTGGGTCTGTGAGGTGGGGCTAAATCCAGCATGCAGAGACACTAGCCTCGGCCCCTTCCTCTAAGAGAAATGGGTGAGAGGGATAGACAGATGGGGCCAAAGTGCAGCATCTAGCTGAATCACCACCTCTAAGGTATTCCTTAAGGTCAGCAGTTCCAAGGGCTTGGTTTGTCCTGTCAGCAAAATTGAAGGTAGAGGAAGGCTGGCTGGCTCTTCCAGTTTTAAGGAGGAGATTTTTGGATTTCTTGGACTACCCTTCCTATAATTTTCCACACTAGGAGTTCTACCAGATTTGCATGCACCTTATGGCTAGCTACCTGATGGGGCTCACCTAGGATATAAGGCCTAGCTCCATCTAAGCTGCCCTTTCCTGCCCCCATTTTCTTCCGAGCAGGAAGCGAGACTGAGCAAGGCCAAAATAAGTCTTCCATGTTAGGCCTGTTCTCCCAAGGGAGCCAAAATGAGGTGCCTGAAAGACGTGCATAAGACAGGTAGAGTTCTTCAAATGGAGAACTGTTGGATTTGTGACCCAAGAAATGTGAAAATCCCATCTTTATTCAGTTTTGTTCACCCTTTCTTGGCAAACTATAACCACTCATCTGGGTAGGTTGGCTTGTGTTGCAACACAACCAATGTCTGCCCCTCTCTCCCAGACCTACTTCTGTCTCTTATCAAAGTTGAGTGAGGGCCTTCTCTTGAACTGAAAAACAAGAGATCAACGAGCCTCCACCCTTATTTTTAACTTATCTTCTTTGTCCACCCTCTGCACTCCCTTCCTTTCGTTCCAGGGTGTTCTAACTGTATGGCAAATAGGGGGCAAGTAACAAAAAGTACATAACCTATTTGGGACAGAAAGTGGGGGGGAAGCATCTGTGGTTTTAGAGATGGATTGCCATGACGACCAACCAACCAGCTTTCTGAGTGACAATTAAGTGCAAGGTGACACCCGGTGACAGCTGCACTTTGCCATTAGGTCACTTTTGCGAGAGAAGATTCGCTGAGACGCGAAACGCGCTCAGGTGACAGCAGCATCGTAGATTAGATTATGGAGCAAATCTCCTGGAAAGTGCCAGAGGCTGAAATTAAATTAGAAGGGGGAGGGAGGCAATTTTCACCTCTTTGATAAATTGCTGGGATCGTTAGCATGTGTATCTTGTCCATCTCTCTCTTTCTCTCTGGTCAAGGGAGGCAGGAATACTGATTTTTCTTCTTGTTCCCTTAGCCAGCCAGAAACCCAGGAACTATCTTCAATGAGACATGCAACAAGGGCTCAGATTCACAAATTGAGGATATTAGGCTGAAGAATGAGTGTCAACACCAACTAGAAATCTGGGTCCAGCCCTCCCCAGTTAGGAATCCAATTTAGAGGGAAGATACGGACTAACTTGATTTTTGTGAACCAGCTTGGCGAGATCGTCATGGTCAAGAATCAAGCCCTGGGATTCATCATGATATAGACAACAAACAGGTTTCATTTATGTAAGCACAAAGAACCCCAAGTTGGAGCAACACCATATCCAAGGCAAGGCAATGTTGCAAAACCATACAGTATTTTTAACAGAGATAATTTCGGATTGCAAAGATATGGAGAAATACTGCAGAGACACAATTTAAAATAGGGTTTCTTCCCCTTCTGCTATCACCTCTGTCTTCCACTGCCTTCTGGAGTTGGGTCAAATTCGTTTAGGTGTCAGGGAGTCAAGAAGACCACCCAGAAGGGGGAAATATGGAATTTATAGTCCAATAAATCTGGAAATCTGATTCTTAGCATTTAGGATTAACAGGTCAGTTCTAAGCAAAGATATAAGGTTCTGTCTGGGGGGAAAAGGAGGTGGTTTCCAGTCTGCAGGGTCCTCTTTTAGAAAAAAAAATGGAATCCTCCCATGCATACAAATTTTACCATTTTCCTAAGCTTGGGAAAGTTACTTTTTATGGCTGGCAAGTGCACATGGTGCCTGGGGGTTAAACCACAAAGACCACCTTTTTCAAGTTCTACACTTCTCTGCTATCATGTTCTGACCACAGTTTACCTTGAGGTTAGAAGGAAAAACAATTTGTGGCTACAAAGAGATAGAAGATATTATTACCTACAGAACATTTCCTGCAAAGTCCATGAGCCCTTATCCTGTGCAGCCCATCGTGAAGATTACAGGTTGTTATCTACTCACTTCTGGAGGGTTCTGGGCTTCCTAGCATTGCTTATGGGCACATCTGTATTGTTTAGTATAAATGTCTTTTATCATCATGGCTTCCTCAGCCTTCTCTTCAACGTATCTCAGGAAGGGCCACCTTATTAGGTAACAAGGACAACATTCTCAAACTCTTACAAGACCACCGTCCACAATTTTTTTCCAGTGGACAAGAAACCCTCAGCCCAGTTTATCATGGTGGTAAGAATGAGCAGAAGAGAGTGTGCAGAAAAATGAACCAAGAAAACACAGTGAAGTAAAGCTGAGTGGAGTGGACATGATATTAGCTGTTATTAGGTACTTACCACGATAATATTTTCGTGCTCCTGAGGACTTAAGCTGGTATTCTGCTAAACGAAAGCAATTTGTTTGTTTGTTTGTTTAAACTTGTATACCACGTCAAATTAGTCATAAACTTTCCTCTGGGAAGTTTCCATCCAGAGTGATACAAACATAAAACAAATCAAAATTTAATAAAAGAAGCACCACATCTAATCAAAGCCATCAAACAGATCAGTAAAATCCAAACAAGATAAGAAATGCGTGTCCAAACCTTTTTAAAATCTAAACTGTATCAAAAGTGTTATCTAGTGATACACTTTGGTATCACTAGGGAGGTTAATTTGTTTAAAAATAATTCCATACATTGTATCTACAGTATTAGAAACAATTCTGTTCATAGAGGCTTATCTTCAAATAATTTCTTATGCTTTGCCCAACTTCCTTCTGAACAGATCCTATGAGCTTCCACGCAGCTCATTAATGCAGAAAACAATGGCTACCCCCTCTTTTTTTAATGCTAGCATAATACAATCAACATAAATCTGAACGGAACTGCCAGAAGTTAAGAAGTCAGCGTAGGTTTCTGCTATTGTATACCAAGTTGCATGACTCAACATACAGCTGGAAAGGCCTACAGTGACCCCTTAGCTTCATGGCACAGCGGTTAAATTGCAGTACTGCATGCAGACAAGGTCCTGCTCATGATCTGAGTTTAAGCTCAATGGGCGCAGGTAGCTGGCTCAAGGTTGAGTCAGCCTTCCTTTCTTCTAAAGCTGGCAAACTGAGTACACAACTCACTTGTTAACCACCCAAATAGTGCTTTAAGGGCTATGGGGTGGTATATAAGCAGCACACTTTTTTCTTACTTGGTAGCAATAAGCTGTAAGATTCACACTAAGTGAGTTAAGGGAGTGTTGTAAGTAACAGGATTCTGGCCAGTGAAGAGGTTCCATTCATGTTCAGTCATAAACTCTGGGTAACCAACAAACTAGGAATCCTCTTTTTCAACCAGACTAACTGCTCCAGTAGAATTTCATCCCCAAAGACAGTAGCTGGCTTTGGAAATCTAAATATTTACACATCTTTAGGTGATCTGGACTTTCTCCCCTTCGAGGAGCTTACCTCTGAGAGCAACTTGGAAACAATCTCGAGGGGAGCTTGATGGATGGATTCATCCTGCAGGGGAGAAGTCAGTGCCATGTCCACCAAGGTCCGGATCTCCTTCAAAACCACCTCCAAGCGGCTGGGATTACTCAGCACCTTCTTGTACTTGTAGATTTTCTTCTGGGGAAGAACAAACACATAGCAAAACTATTTACGTTCAGGTGCCGAGTTAAGAAGCCATGCGGAAATGTCGTGGTAAATTTCCACATAAAGCCTAGGAAAGAAACACACACTCCATACTTCATTCTTCCTGTTTCTACATCTCCGAAATGTACATGTCTGTGCTTGAGGGGGAACCCTGCAATATCTACAGACTACAGAAATTTTATTTACTCTCCTTTCCTTTACCAATCCATTTCTGGGCACGGTTCAAAGTGCTGGTTCTAACCTATAAAGCTCTCAAAGCCTTGGGTCCAACTATCAAAAAAACCTACAGTGGTACCTCGACTTCCGAACATCCCCACTTGCGAACGATTTGAGTTACGAATGGCTCTGTTTGCAAAATGTTGCTTCGACTTGCGAACGGAGCCTCGACTTGCGAACCAAAAAAAAAAACCTTTTCACCTTAGGTCAAAAGAAGATATATATATAAATCACCCCTAGTGATAGAGTACAAATTAACCGGCTTTGCATTAGTTCCTATGGGAACTAATGCCTCTACCTACGAACAGCGCCTCAACCTTTGAAAGGAAAACAGCAGGTACGGATTACAGTGGTGCCTCGCAAGACAAATGCCTTGCAGGCCAAAAACCTCACAAGACAAATGGTTTTGGCAATGGGGTTGATGACTCGCAAGACCAATGTTCCTATGGCCGTGCTTCACAAGACGAATGTTTTCCGTTTTTTGTTCCTGCCTCATGTTTGCTGATTTTTAAATGTTTTTCTATGACGTTAAAAAAGTTAAAGTTTTTTTGATTGAATTTTTTAAAAATCATTTGCACAATGTGTATGGCTTTAAAGAGCACTTAATAAACCCTTTGTAAACCAAATTTGACTTTGTTCTGACTTTTTTTTTGCCCATAGGAATGCATTAATTAGATTTCAAGGCATTCCTATGGGAAAACGCGTTTCGCAAAATGAATTTTTTGCAAGACAACATTAACCGCGGAACGAATTAAATTCGTCTTGTGAGGCACCACTGTAAATGGTTTTCAATGCATTCCAATGGGAAAGTTTGACTCTACTTGCGAACTTTTCAACCTGTGAACTTAATTCCAATACGGATTAAGTTTGCAAGTCAAGGTACCACTGTACAGTATTTCCCTTTATGAGCCTGCTTGGGTGCTAAGATCACTCAGGGAGGGAAGACCTTCTGAGGTGTATACACGGGACAGGGCCTTCTTTGTGGCTGCTCTCAGATTCTGGACCCCCCTCCCCCAACAAGAAGCCAGCCTGGCCCCATCTTTGCTGTCCTTCCACAGGCAGGCGAAGACCTCTCTTTCTTCAGGCAGGCTTTTCCTTACTGACAGACTGTTTAGGAGACAATAAACAGGGTAGTTTATATTTTTTTGCTTCTAATTCTGTTTTTTTTAATATAACGCTATTAACTCTTCTTTAATATTTGAATAACATGCTGAGGTGTGTGGGGTTTTTTTGTTTTTTGGGGGGGGGCTTTCTGCTTGTCATATTGTGTTTTTAATTTTGTAACCCACCTTGAGTCCCTTTCCAAGCCCTTGGAAGAGAGAAATTAAAATATGTGTGTGTTTCTACCATCTGAAAAAACCAGAGAAAGCAATGCACTTCTGCAACCCTAGGCGTAAAAGCAGGAATGAGGTCCACCGAACACAGTGGGCTTTACTGCTGAGTAAATGTGGAGTGGATCACTCCATTTTAGGTGAAGTTCTTCTGCAAGAACAGCATCCAATTCCATCTATTTCCTTAAGCACTTTGTTTTCGTTGCTATGGAAGGATGGCAGTCGAAATACATTGTGCCAGTAAGAATGAACTTTGTTTCTGCTGTCCGTGATGATTTATTTGTCATAGGCTGTCTTGGGTATATAAAGCCCTCTGGCTGTCAAAATCCAGAAGGAAATGGCACAGTTTTAGAAGTGTCAAGAAATTACAGTAACACCCGTACGTCAACAGAACACAGTGACACGAAGCAAGGCTCCCATCAGCTGCTGAGTCCTTACACCCAGAAAGCAAATACAGTATTTGGAGCACACGGAGAAAATTGTAACGGCAGCTGATAGCACAACCTGGAGAGTCTCTCAGTGTCATAATTCCTCATGTATCCAAGAACTGACCAGTGAAAGAAAAGGTATAAATTGCAACTCAAATGATTTTGGAAGAATTGGTGTATTTCTTTCTATGGCTAAGAATTACAGCCACTCAATTCTAAACAAACGCAACCTCGGGAGATCGCATGCCTTATTCTGGTGCACCATAGGACAGAATTATTTCCACCAACCCCAATCCATACGGCTGAAACAAATGAATAAAAAAATTAACTCATCTTCCGCTGACTTTGAAAATAGCGTGGTTCTGAGAAAAAGGAACCATCTTTTCCTGAGATCCTCCATGAGTTTCCAAGTTGTGCAATGTCGTCATGTTGAATGAAAAGGCCATGGAACACTCGGTAGATATTCGACACGAGAGCTTTTGTATTTGTATCCCTCGGTTTACGAATACGAAGGGCGGCACCACAGGCGCCCTGGAGGTCCATTCCCACTCACCAGGCTTCACAAGGGTTGTGCGGCCATTGTCGGTAACTTTGTGCCAAGCACGGAAGTAGAAAAACACGGCGCTTCCCCCGCCTCCCTGTGTTGCTGACCAATCCAGGAAGGAGGCAGGACGAGGAGTCTTCCCGTTCAGCTGCTGGATGGTCAGCAGCTCAGGGAGACGAGGAAGCACCGGCTGGGCGACTTCCACGATTGGCACACAGTTACTGGCGACAGCTGTGCATGCCATGGAAAGCCCGGTGAGTGGACCGGGATGGTTCTTGGAGGAGGGTCCAAAGGGCTTGGCCACCTTGTGGTGGTGATATTCGTATTCGTCTCCCTTGGGAGACAAATACAAATATCCCATCTCTAGTAGACGTCCATCCAGTCAAGTAAAGGGGTAACTCTTTGGCTTACAAAATCCCATCTGCTTTACTCTGCCAGGGTAAAGGTAAAGGAATGGGCAAGCTGTAGCCCATTAACACCGAGAAAACTAAAGGTTTCCCGTCCACTTTAAAGTCTCTCTAGTTAGTTATGTGCCATCAAGTCAGAACAGACTTACGGTGAGCCCAATCCGACTTTCGAGGCAAGCAAGATATTTAAGGACTGGTTTTATCCGTTCCACATCCTCAGTGAGTTTCCACGGCTGAGCAGGGATTAAAACCCTGGTCTCCAGAGTACTAATCCATCATTCTATCCACTACACCACGATGGGTACTCCAAAGTATATCGACCCCACTCTTTATCCGGAAGAGTTCCAGATATGCTTGTAAAGATAGACAGCTGTCCATAGTTTTTAAATACATGTTTAAGGCATGACACACAAGGAACATGGAGCGCGAAGGGAGGAGGAACAAAGGGTGCCTGGTCAACCGTGTTCCATACACCTTGTCCTTCTGTCCTCCCTGCAAACCATGATATTGCAAGAAACCTGGTCCTGTTACTATGTATTAGCAATGCGCCTTCTGCACACAAAAGGAAGCATGTATCTGAGGACTGGATGTCCGTGGTACCAATTAACTCCTGCAATTAGTCATGACAATGGGTAGGTGTCAGGATGAGTTCTTGCTCTTCTGACAACTGAGTGATACTAGGTCGAGCCGATGCATCAGTACGGTTGACACCAGATGGAGTGGATCTAATTTGAAACAGAGACTGGAAAGTTATTTTTAAACAAAGTTACCGTCAGAGCTTGGAACGTTGCTTTTAAGAAGGAACAAATTCCATTAGTTATTTCCAGGTTGGAGAATAACACTTTGCTTGTTCTGGTTTTTTTAAAAATAACTGATTGTGCCACTTGTCGTCATCGTCATCATCATCATCATTGTGTGCCCTCAGTCGATTCTGACTTATGGAAACCCTTTTCAGGGTTTTCCAGAAAGAGAGTACTTAGAAGTGGTTGGCCCTTCCCTTCCTCTAGGGGGTGCCCTGGGACGGTGCAGCTGGCCCAAGGCTACCCAGGCTGGCTCTTCTCCCTGGAGACACAATTGGGGAATCAAACCCCCAACCTCTGGCTCTGGAGCCAGAGATCTAACTCACTGAACTACCCACACTGATTTTTGTTACTTCTTGAAAGAAATTTTGACTGAGGGGGAGAATGAAATCTGGGAAATTTAACCCCAAAAGCCTTTTAAAATACTAGTTAAGAGTCATTTGGGAAATTGACTAGAAAAATATTACTTCAGTTGCACTTGTTACATGACTATCAAGTGTTGCACGCCATACATGCTACCGCTACACAAATCTGCACTTCTCTGGAAGACTGCGGTCAAATAGGAGGGCAACTAAGTGCCCAGATAAATAAATTTCAAAGTGACAACAGCATGAATAAAGTGTTGATTGCACAAACATCTTTGGCAGGGGTAAAGTGATTAACAGTCCACCAGGTAAGTCTCAGATGTGCAAAGAATTTTGTTTCAGGAAATTGGGGGGAAAATAAACAATTTTCTGAAACAAAAAGGTGAAGGCTTGTGATACAAAATGTACGTTATTCTTGGCCAGAGGTTCCAAGAACCATGAACAAGCATGAAACAGTGGAATGAGAAACACCACCTCATGATAAGGCAGGGTTATCTGGAAAAGACTATCATGCTTGGAAAGGTGAAAGGAAGCAGCAAAGGAGGAAGAGCAAATACAAGATGGTCTGACTCCCTAAAGAAAGGCACATAACAACAAAAACAAATAGCCTAAGAACACATATCTGTACACCTCTAGCACTGAACCATGTGATATGGTATTCTTTCTCCACAATTTAGTAAGGCTTCTCCAACTATCAAAGTACAGTAGTTTAAATGGACCAGTCATAATGCAAAAGCAGCGGGAAAATCCCTCATTAGACTATGAGTGTGATGTTATATATTTGTGCTTTCATTACTGAAAAGGGAATCAATTAGAAATAACTCATTTGTAGCTAGTTACTTCCAACCTCTGATCTGAAACTAGTATGGGCTATCAGTAATGACAAAATGAAAAATCAGGACAGATAAT